ACCTCTCAACATATCGCTGAGCTCGAATCGTCACAAGACCGTTAACAGTATCACCGAGGTGAGAGTAAAAAGGTGATAAACTTAGCGAAGTAAGTCTTTTCAGTTCCACAGTCGTTAGCCTGAAAGGCAGCAACCAGATAAGTTATACAATAAGGCTAACTTAACTTGCTTATTCAAAACACTAAACAAAAGAAAAAAGTCCCATATCCATGAACTTAGTTAATATCAACAAATCCTATAATTTACTGTTCCCTTTCCCAGATATATAAAATTACGACAACGTAACGATGAAAGCTCCATATATTCAGGTCTGATTTAGCTCACAGTCTAAGGTTTGAATGACTCACCTGTAATATTTTTGAATAAAGTAGTAAATTGTGAGTAAGAGAAGAATGATTGGAGTCATGAGCGGTAGACCCATAATTGTGATTACCATCGTACCAATGAGATTGAAGAAAGAAGCAAGAAGAATGTTAAGCTGAAATAGTTTCCTGCAGTTGAGTAACACATAAAGCTACTGCAATCGAACACCAATTATTAAAGCCAGAAAGGACGAATGGCATTTAACGAGCATAAGTATGCATCTTTTAAAACAGGGGTAATAAGATTTTTTCAGATGTGGTTTCTGATATGATACATTCTGCATACTATGATAGATGTTTGTACTAGTTGCAAGATTTATTAAATTTGGACTATGAACAAAAAAAGTCCAAAGCAAAAGTAACAAAAGTATGGAAAGAGAAGACGAATCACAATACTAACCTGGAACGGCAGATTATCATCACAAGTGTATACATCAGAACAAATTCGATTGATAACGCGTCCAGAGGGAGTCCGATCCCACCAAGACGATGACGCCTGGAGTAAAAATATTTGACTCACAAAGCCAACTTCTATCAAGAGGTTTTACCTTGAGAAGTCTGTGCAGAAGATTCGCATGAAGATTTCTAGCCGCTTTGATTCCACCATAGGCAAAGAGAAAAGCTCTTATGCAGGTGAAGATTGTATTAGCCGTTGCTATACATCCATAAATGATTAGGAAGTAAACAGATCGATCCATCTCTTCCTCATTCATGAGCCTAATATAGAGAGATCAACTGACTTAGT